ACGGCTCCAGATGGGCTCTGCGCGGACCAAGACAGCCCCGAGACGGTCCAAGACGGCCCCAAGAGGGCCCAAAAAGCCCCACTGCCGGCCCAAGAGGGCCCCAAGAGCGCCCACAACTGCGCCTCCAGAAGCCAAAATCATTGATTTCCTTTTGGTTTGGTAAGATTTTAGCGTTCTCGCATTTGCGGCCCAGGAAGCTTCCCAACTCGCTCCTGAACAACCCAAGAAGCCCCCAAGAGGGCCCCAATACTGCCCAACAGAACCCCAAAACACCCCAAAGAGGCCCCCAAAACGGTCCAAGAGGCCCCTATGACGGCCCAAGAAGACCCCAAGACGGCCCCAAGGCGGCCGCGAGAGGCCCCCAAGACGGCCTCCGAAGGGGCGAAGCGCCAAGGCGCGCAGGAGTGGAATGGGAAGGCCAGAAAGGAGGACCCATCTGGCCCGGGGTGCGCCTGAACTGGGAGGTCCTGCCGGAGAGCCGCCATTGGTGAGAGGCCGCGGGGGCGAGCAGGCCCCGACACAGGTGGACGCCCATCAAGAGCCCGGCAGAGCGGACCACCCAGGGGAGGGCGACCGAGGCCCGCAGCGCCTGGGGCCCACCGCAGGCAAGGCAGGCTAGGTCGTCGACGCACGCAGGGCAATCAACGAGCGCGCAGTTGGCGACGGTCTCAATTATTCGTTCGTACCCAATATTCCACAGGAGGGGGGAGGCTGCCCCGCCAATCCCTACGGATCTGAGTAACTTCCTGAGTGGACCCGTGAACCTGCCTTGGCGGGTCTGAACTCGTCGATCGGAGATGAGCGCCCCGATGGCGCGCTGCAGCCCGACGGGCAATTGCCACTGGCGCAGGAGTCGGCCCATTCACTGCAGGGAGACTCGCTCGAGGCCGTGCTTTGGTCGCAGAAGATAATAGCCGCGCTGGGGGGCAGGCCCGACTTCCTGTAAAGTAAAAAGCATGCAGGCGTCGACTGTGCGTTGAGACGGGCCGAGAAGGGCGCTCCAGGCATCGCCTGGCCATGGGTCCTGCATGGGCGCGGTGCCCAGGTGGACGGTGGCAAGGGTGATGTTAGGGCCGCATTGTCCTCCTGTTTTGGCAGCCTGGTGGGGGCTCGGGAGTGGGCCCGCAACTTCTCCAACCCGACCCGCCAAGGTAGCCCCGAATAGTCGGACGAAGCAAGTTGGGAGCTGGAGAAGTCGCCTGTCGTTCGGATGCCCTGCTCCGGCCTTCTCCCCGACCCAGACGAGTAGGTCGGCCGAAGGGGCCAAGGACAGAGAGAACACGGCGAGGGCGCTCGCGCGCAGCGTGCAAGGCCTGCCCGAGAAGATGCGACACGAAGCGGGACCCAGGGTGGCACACTTCGCGAGGTTCGCCGTCGACCCCAGGGGCGCTGCCACTGGGGGCAAGGACCTAGTCAGGGAGGGAGATCGGGCCTCTGCTGCTGAAGTACCAGCTCAGATTACGTTCGGCAGGGGAGGGCAACGCGGGAACAGACTGCCAGATGGGGATGCGGCTGTCCCATAGGATGCGTTCGACGTCGGCCGGTTGGTCGTGCCACGTTCCATCGATGGACCGGGCGCCTATGACGGGGTGGGTCCTGACGCATATCTCCCGGCCGGCCCTGTAGTGAGCAGCCAAGGGGGGGCGCTCGACGCCAGGCCCTCTCTGCCACGGCGTGAGCCGTTCTGCCCGCCGTTCGAGGGCCTCCTGGTCCTACCAGCGAGTCCACCAGTGAACGTCGACAGGGAACAGGTCGCGCCCGCTGCACCCGCATTCCGCACGCCAGTTTGCCAAAGGGCCAGTGGGCCGCAGGCCCTCGTTCCGCCTGGCAGCAGCAGCGAGGAGGGCACCCGGGCCTGGGGTGGCCCTTCGCGTGAACCAGTAGGTCCACCAGTCGCGAAGGGCGGCCGACAGTGCATGTCGGCCCAGCGTCATGAGGGCAGGGAGGAGAGGGGGAAGGGGTTCGCCCCCAGGGAGGGTGAGCCCGGGGAGCCCCGTGGAGTGAGCTCGGTGCCCCCACGGCCGCTGTCCGCGCGCATGTCAGGGAGAGCGCCCGGGGCGGCCGGGCGCATCCAGCCGGCCGGTTGTAGTCTGTCCGCGAGGTCCAATCTTGGAACGTTGGAGGTGCGCTCAAGGAGGGTGCAGGCCCGCCGCAGTTCCTCGTGCGCCGCTGCTGGAAGGGACCAGTACCTGGCGGCCGTCAAGGCATTCTGCCGGCGGGCGTGGGCGGACCGCTGGGTCTGCTGAACTCTTGGGAGGCCCCCGGCTGTTTGCAGCTGGAGCATGATGTCCTGCGGGAACGGGGCTGTCGCGAGCGGGGCGAACGGCGCGAGGACACGCGCCTATGCGTACGCCTCTTGGAACGCCTCCAGTAATCAGGGAGGCCTCGTCGGGGGTTGCGGCTGGAGAGTTTGGGGGGGCTGCGGGGGCCCAGAGGGGTCGTGGCTTGGGGGCTGTCCCGCCCAGGTCAGCACTGCGCCCAATAGACGCTGCCGTAGCGACCTGGGGTCGAAGTGAATGCCCACAGCGTCACACAGCGCCCTTCCTTGCAACCCGAGGTCGTTGTAGCATCGGCTGAGTCCAACTGCTCGGGCCCGTTCATGTGGGGAGGGTGGCCGCAACCCGTGATGTCTGCCTTCGGCCATTGGCCACCTCCCCCAGGCACGCACCTTGTCCTCCGCTCCGCGTCCTTCTCGCTCGCGCCCCTGCATGACCAGTGGCAGGCCCTCCACGCACCCCGGGAACCGGGTATTGGCGGCGGTTTCGGCAAGGATTGCACGGGCCCTGTCCCTGGCGTTCGTCCTGGAGCAGAGGAACTCTGTCGTGCCCGAGTCCTCGATGTAGAGGAGGCATGCCAGGTGCGTTTGGTAGCTGCTCGGGAGGACCTCTTCAGGGGTGTCGCCCCGCGACTGAGTCCAGGTGGGGATCCGGCCGTCTGGGCGAAACGCCCACCTGGATTCCCACGGGGACGGGAGTCGGGGGTAACTGAGGGAGCTCGACGACGGGGGGGAGTGTGCCATCCACGTGCGGCAGCGGGGGCTGGCAACCCAGTCGCCCGCGCTGATGCGGCAGGCCCAGTCCTCGGGGATGGATCCGAGCGAGCGGCGCATTATGGATCCATGGGCGTTCTGCATCGGGAAGACGTTTTCGGAAATGAATATCACCTGGATGTCCGGCCGGTGCCGGACAGCTGTTAGCCACGCCATGGGGATGGCGAAGAACTGCACCGAGTGGTGACCAGGCAACCCGTCTGCGCCTCCGTGCGTCCCGGCAGTGGAGAGGTCGTTGCAGGGACTCCCACCGACGATCAAGAGAAGGCATCATGTGGGGAGCGTGTCTAAGTATCTGGTCCATCTCCAGTGCCCACCCAGGGTCGGTGGGGCGAACCAGGTCCCACACGTCGGCAGAGAGCTGCGTGTGGGGAGGGCCCCTGTTGACGATGTGGGGGGAACCGCGGCTCCAGTAATGACCCACCCGCTGGGCTGCCTCGGCGTTGCAAAGCGGTGCGATAGTCCCGTCCTGCTGACGAGGTCGCCCACGGCGTATCTGGCCAGCCCCCATCCGTCAAACAGGGAGACAAGGTGGAGAGTTTGTCCGCCCGAAGTGTCGGAGGGGATGGGCCATGGGAGGGCCGTGGCCACAGGGGCGCCCGCTATCGCCACCCCCCGAAGCTGCGGGAGATCCAGGTCCCCATCCCGATGCACTACTACAAAGCCTGCAACGTCCCAGGGGAAACCACCCGGGGGTTGGGCTACTAACCCTTGCTGCTCAAGGGTGCGCAATCCTGGGTGAGGATACTTTTTGGTCAGCGGGCTCGCGAAGCAGGTCGAAAGCCGTCCGAACACTAGTCGGGCCGCGACTAGGCAGCAAGAAAAGAGAGGCAAGCGATGACTGGGTGAGGATACACGAACCGTGAAAAGCAAACAATATGGCAGACCTGTACTACTCCGTGCCCGCAAAGGGCAATTGGGGGGCGCGCGCGAGCGCGCGCCCACGCCATGCGTTTCACGGTGCTGCACATGTGAGGGAACGCAGACTCACAGACCCTCGAACGAGCACACGCAAGGTGCACGGTTTCCCCGGGGGCCGTAGGCGACCCGAGAAGGAGGAGGAGATGGAGGAGGAGAAAGAGGAGGAGGAGGAGGAGGAGGAGGAGGAGGAGGAGAACGGGTCGCCTAAGCCCTTCGGAGAAACCCTCCAACGCAAGGAAGACACGACAGGAGAAAGGAAATCTGCACAAACATAAAAAGCTTTCGGAGGTCCGCGCGGACTTCCAAACAAAATCTCTGGCATGCGTATGTTCCTTCTCCGGGCGAAGGAGCCATCATGGGGTGGACGTCAGGGGGAATCGGCTCAGGGAGGAAAAATCGGCCTGGAATCGAAGACACATCACATCACCCATATCGGGGGCGCGCAAACATGGATTAGCGATGCATGGACTTGGCGCGCGGTCGCCCAAGCCATGGATCGGGGGAGGTGCCCTCCCCTAAATGCGGCGGGTGACGCCTCGTTCGGCGGCGGAAATCCGCGACTTCCCATGGAAACGGGACCCGTCGCTAATGCACGCCCCGTTGATCCATGTTTGCGATCGCCTGACCAGAGATCGGCGATGGGCCCCCGATAGCGAAACCTCACGGTCCTGGGCGGAATGGGATATCGGGCCCCTAATTATAGGCGATCAACGGGCGATTGGAGATCGATGCACTCCCCCCTGAGCCTATCCCCCTTAACGTGCCCCTGACATCACCCGGGATCCCAGGGCGGTTGCCGATCTGAATCGGGAGCGACCAGACCGTGGACGCACGATGGAATTCAGAAAACCTCGAGCGCACGATGCCCTCTCGTCGCCATGAGGGGAAGAAAGAACGGCAGAAGCCGAAAATGGAAACGGTCGAACTTTCCATGTTCGTGCAGCTGTGTCTCCTACGAGCCACTCCGTGGGCACTCACACGGTGGCGCGTGAGGGCGGAAAGGCGAGCACGCGCGGCTGCAAGAGGCCGCCTCGATCATGTAGTCGATGATTTCATCGAGCTGGGCCGCGCCCCCGCTGCCGCTGCTGCTGACGCTCTCCGGTGCTCCCGCTGCGCCTCTGCCTGGTCAGCCACCCTCGAACGTATCCCTGTCCCTGGGATCGGCAAGCCAAAGGCGATGACAGTCTCAGGGACGTGCCAATCGGTACCGAGGCAAGGTGATGCCAAAGATAGGGATAGGAATATGTTTCAAGCTGGTCACTGATGACCAGCGCCACCATTACCAAGCTACAGTCCGCCTACAGTCAGACTCGTACCCATCTTACCCATACTCAGATCCACTCACACCAGCCGACATTACTATGGCCAGCGCCTTACCACCAGAGTCAATACCAAATAAGGAACGAAGGGGCTTTTCTGACCCTGCCGAGCCTCGGCCACGAGGAGGTTCCCCGACCTGGAACGGCCCGAAAACCAGGGGCCCTCCTGAATACAAACAAGTCTTTTCTCAACGTCTTGACTGTCGTAGCCGCCACCGTCGTTCGCCTCATGGCCACCGTCGTCGCCTACAATAGGGAAACGTACTCCTGGCAAGCGACTTCGGGCAAGGCGTCGCTCTGTCGCCATCATGCTCGTTGCCACGGCGATGCTCAAGGCCACTGGGCGTGCTATTCCAAGTAGAAGCTGACACGAGGTCAAATCAACGTGCCAATGGCCTGCGGAACCGACAATTCTGCCACTCGCATCACCTCTGCATCGATACACGAGCGGCCACACATGCCACCACGTGCAATATCAGCCCACGTCGTCGTGGCCATTGTCGCCATCCGAAACAACATCCGCACTTCTCATAAGTCACGAGGCCTCTTCCGGATTATCATGTTGCTGGAAGCCTGCCTCTGCTAGACAAACAAACAAAGGCATAAACATTCGGGTGTCCGCGCGCATTTCTTGGATCTGCGCTGCACCACCCTCCCTGGCGCGCGGAGCGCGCCCGCGCGGAGCTCCGAAAGTTTATGTGTATGCAATTCTTTATTGTTCTATGTGTGTCCTCTCGAAATCCACCGCTGTCGCCGCCACATTCACTGCTGCTGCGCTCTGGCCGCATGTGCTGACCCTGCGACGCGCTACTGAACGCAGCCATCGGCCCAAGAGTACGAGGACGTGCGACGCCAAGTACATGGGCAACCTTGTACGGAAATGAAAGTCCCAAAACGGTGCGGTGACAGCCCGTGTGGTGACCCCAGAATCCCCCCAAGACCTCACCGCACGGTCCGGCCACCCACGGCTTGGGAGACCTTGGAGGAGGGCCAGTTGAGACAACGGCAGCTCTCGCGCCAATATCCCGCTGCATTGCTCCGCCTTCCGCCACCGATGTCGAGGTTGAAGGGGCCCAGGGACACACAAACATCAGCCAGCGTTGACTCCAAATAGATAGGAGGACAGGAGGAAGACGAGAGGAGGATGGGAGGAGGACGAAAGGAGGACGGGAGCAGGACGGGAGAACGGGAGGAGCAAAATCAAGCAAGCGCAAGCAAGCAAGCGGGAGCAAGCAAGCAAGCGCGAGCAATAGCAAGCAAGCAAGAGCCAGCGATCAAGTGCAAGCGAGCAAGGGCAAGCAAGAGCAAGCAAGCGAGAGCAAGCACGCAGGAGCAAGTAAGCAAGTGCACTTGGAAGAAGGGGAGGGTGCCATTGGAAATAAGGGAGGGTGCCATTGGAAAAAGGGGGGGCTAAAGGCCAATTACTTATGATGAGCTAGGACTCATATAGGGCAAGCCTAATTGGAGAACAGAAAGACACAATTCCCAGGCTTCCCCCAAGTTCTCAGATTTTCTTGGTTTTCGTCTTCCCTCCCACTTTCCACATTTTCCCATACTTTCCTTGGAATCGACGATGGATTCTGTCTGTGTGTTTCCCCTCTCGAATTACCCCTTCACGTTCGGGCCTACCCGCAGCCCTGGACGTGTGTCCCCCAGCTGCATGTGGCGGTGTGTCGGAGGGTCGGTTCGCTTTAGCCCAAGACGGCTCTTCAAGACTGCTGCAGCTAGCCCAAGGGGGCCTCCAAGATGGCCGAAGTTGGTCCAGATGGCCTCAAGCACGGCTTCAAGAGGCCCCCGAGAAGGCCCATAGATGACACTGAGGTGGCCCCGGAGCCTCCCAAGGACACCACCGACGGGCAAAACCTGTGATCTCCAAAGGCCCCCGAAGTCACAGGCCTGCAAGAGCACCCGAGGGCCCCAGAGGGGCCTCATGAAGCGTTGAGGCTCCAATGCAGCGACGGTTACCAGGGACCCCCTGTTTCTTCACTAGTGCTCCTTCACTTCCTTCTCACGCGCCTGTGAATCGTCTCTGCACTCTGGGCGGGCTGGTGGGGATACTCGCAGCTGCACAAACTTGACGCTCATGGGCCCCTCCAGATCGGAGCGAAAAAACGGATCCTCGAATCGTTGGCAAGAACAAGTATACTCTGGGCGAATTTGCGACAACTCAGCTCGGGTTCGAAAATTCGCCTGGCCTGGAATCCCTGAGCGGCCCGACGATCTACGCTTTCGGACGCGGCCAGACTGCCGACGCGTCGTGCGTGGCTCGGTGGCAGCTTACATGCGCGAGGATCTCGCTACCGAGAGCTGTTGTGCTGTTGTGCTGATACCCAAGGGCCGAACCGACTCGTCCTGCCTACGAAACGCAGTGCCAGCCTACCGCCGTCCGCGGACCCGAGGCGAACTGGGGGCCGAAAACGTAGACCCAAAACGTAGAACTCTGTAGATTTCTACAAGCGTGTCCCTTTGACCGGGCGTTGCGCGGGCGGAACCACATGTTATTGCCACTGCATCTTGATTGTACATCGCTCGAACACTGCTGCCATCTGCGGCTCGAGATGACTGAAGCGCCTCAACTGCGAAACTAGTCTCAGCGCTGACTGTGTTTACACCGTGAGATTGCCACGCCAAAGCAAGGAGGGAGAGGAGTAGGAGGAGGAGAAGGGGGGAGATGAAGGAGAAGGAGGAGCAGGAGGGATACGGAGGGCGAGGACGAGGAGGAGGAGGAGGAGGAGGAGGAGGAGGCAGGAGGAGGGAGGACTGAATGAAGGCCGAGGGGAGCAGGAGGTAAGGAAGAGGAGGTCAAGGCGAAGGCAGAAAAGAAGGAGCCCTCCGCGTACTGCCCCCTCCGCGGCCCGTGGCGACCGCCACGGCCGACGCCGCGGCCGCAGAGGCGAGGAGGAGAAGCAGCAGCAGGAGTGGAGGAGAAAGAGGAAGGAGGCGGAAGAGCAGGTATGGGAGGAAGGAGCAGCAGAAGGGACGAGCAGCGAGGAGGGAGAAGAGGAGGCGCCGACATCCGAGCAGGAACAAGAAACGCAGAGAGGCGAGGCGAGAGAGCGCAGGAGGAGGAGGAAGAGAATGAGGAGCCGAGGGGGGGAGGAGGGGAAGGAGGCGAGCGCAAGGAGGAATGGGCCGGGCGAAGGAGGGAGGAAGCAGAGGGAGGAGGAGGGAGGAAGCAGGGAGGAGGAGGAAAGCTAAGACGGGTGGACGAGAAGGTACCGATACCACCACTCCCCAGACCTCTCACACAGTGCATTCCGACAAGAACTCCAAGGAGAACGCAGCCGACAGCTTCCCTAGCCGAGCAGTGGCATCGGCATCTGATCCTCATCTGAGATGCGGAGAATGAAGGAGGAAACCCGTTGACCCTTCTGCGTGGGCGTGTGAGATACGTTTTCGTCGTCGTCGTCGTCGTCAGCCCCAAATCAATTGAGGAACAAGGAAAACGAACGTCGTAATGGAGTCAACAATTCCCTCCCCTTCGTCCTTTTCTCCCTTCCCTACTAGTCAGAATACCGCCCCCGCCCACCCCCCAGGGTCCTGGCGGGTCCCGGGGCGGGAGGGGTCGCCAGCGGGGGTCCCGGGGGAGGTACAGCCTGGGGGGGGGGGGCTGGTCCCGGCTCAGAAAATACTGGCCCCTCCCAGGGGTCACAGTGCGTTTTAGGAGGATCGCCAGCAGGGGTCCCTGGGGAAATCCTGCCTGTGGTGAGGAGGGTCCCAGATCAGAATACGCCACCCCCCCATCCTGGGAGTCCTGGCGGCTCTGGGGGAGGTCACAAGTCCTGGGGGAGGTCACGCCTTCAGGGTCGGCGCCACAGGCCGTAAGGCCTTCGCAATACGTGCCCTTGCCGCCTGTGACAGGATGCTCAGGATGTTGTCACAACGTCGAACAGACGAGATCTAGACTCGGCGGCGAGCGAGGGGAGAAGTGAAAGAGAAGGCCTTTTCAGAAGGCGGCGGGACGTAGGACTTCTGAGAAGTTTTCTGTATATTCTGGGAAGGCTTCGGGAAGGCTTCGGGAATTTCTCAGAAGGCCCGAAGACTTCCGAGCCTTTTGAGAAGGCCCACCCCTTCGAACTTCCCCCCTGGGCTCGCCGCCGAGCAGGACCGGCGTTTCACACTGCATGGATTTCTGACGGTCACGGGGCCCGGTAAATGCCCCCAGGGGCCGCAAAATCGCTGGAAACCTCCCGTCAGGATTTTGTCGCAGCGAGGGGAGGTGAGGGAGGGAGGGAGAGAGGAGGAGGAGGGAGGGAGGGGAGGGGGCAAGTTAGGTGCGCTCGCGTCAACATTTGACAATCCTACCCCTCCCTCCCATCCCTTACCATGGCGCTGATTTTCTGTATCCGCGGACGCGTGTCGTAGCGGACCTGTGGCTCCGCGCGCGTGTGCGTACTGGGTGGTGGTGCGCGTGCGTGCGTGCATGTGTGCGTGGTTGTGGTTGTTGTGGTGGTGGTGTGTATGTGTGTGTGCGTGTGTGCGCGTGTGCTGTGGTGTGACGTGGTGTGGCGTCTTGGTGGTTTGGTGGTGGGCCAGGTGCATACGTGCGTGACGGCGGTGGTGGTGGCGGTGGTGGTGTGTGTGTGTGTGTCTGTGTATGTGCGTGTGTGTGTGTGTCTGTGTATGTGCGTGTGTGTGTGCGTGTGTATGTGTGTGCGTGCGTGTGTGTCTGTGTGTGCGCGCGTGTGATGTGGTGTGACGCGGTGTAGCGTGGTGGTGGTGGGTGGGGTAGTGCGGTGGTGGTGGCGGTGCGCGGTGGTGGTGCGCGTGCGTGCGTGCGTGCGTTGGTGGGTGGAAGTGGCGGTGGGTGTGCGTGCGGCGGGCGGGGCGTGGTGCGGCGCGGTGGTGGCGGGCGGATGGGCGCGCGAGAAAGAGGCCCGCGCTGGGGCGAGAACGCCATCCTGAACGACGGAGGCAAAACACCGATCCGAAAATGAGGCCCACGCTGCAGCGGGAGCACGATTCGGAACGATTCGGGAGCAGAAATGAGGCCGGCGCCTCAGCGAGAGCAGCACTTTGAAAAAAACGCAGGCGAAAACCCAACTCCCGGGAATCCTGTGTGTAAAAAAAAACAATACGCGGGGGGGGGGTCGGCTACTCCCAGCACGCCATCAGGGGAAGAGGGAGAGTAGTATTCATATTGAGTAATTGTGGAGGGAGGGGAGAGAGGGAGGGAGGGGGGGAGAGAAGGAGGGAGGGAGGGAGGGAGGGAGGGAGGGAAGGAGGGAGGGAGGAGGAGAAGGAGCAAGGAGGAGGAGAAGAAGGAGGAGGAGGAGGAGGGGGGGAGGAGGAGATGCCCCTGCCTGCCTGTGACAGGATGCCCAGGTCTTGCTGCTGGACAGTGGCGCTACCCTCCATAGGGGGGGGCACCAGCGGGCACCGCCGCGAAGCAGCAGCGCCCTGGAGAGGCCTCGGCACGCCGGTGGCGACAACGACGACGACGCCCACGACGACCAGGACGACGACCAGGACGACGACCAGGACGACGACCAGGACGACGACCAGGACGACGACCAGGACGCCGACGCCTAGAACGAAGATGACCACGACGACGACGACGACGACGACGACGACGACGACGACGCCGACGACGACGGAAACGACGACGACGGCGACGGCGACGACGACGGCGACGACGACGACGACAACGACGACGACGACGACGACGACGACGACGACGGCGGCGGCGACGACGACGACCAGGACCAGGACCAGGACTAGGACTAGGACCAGGACCAGGACCAGGACCAGGACCAGGACCAGGACCTGGATCCAGGACCAGGACGACGACGACGACGACGACGACGACGACGACGACGACAACGACTAGGACCAAGACCAGGACCAGGACCAGGAACAGGACGGGGACCACGACCACGACCACGACCACGACGACGACGACGACCACGACCACGACGACCAGGACCAGGACCAGGACGACGACCAGGACGACGACGCCTAGAACGAAGATGACCACGACGACGACGACGTCGACGACCAGGACGACGACGAAGATGGCGACCAGGACGACGAGAGCGACGACCGACGAACGACGACGGCCCCTTCTCTCGTGCCCCCGCTGCATCCTCCTCCTCACTCTCCCTTCCCTTGGCGCGGGGAGGAAAAGAACGAGGGAGGAAGGGAGAAGGGACGGAGAACCTCAGGACTTCGACGGGTATAGCCTGCTTCAGTGGCCGTAACTCAGGGACGGAAGAGGTTATGGGAGGATGGGAAGAAGGAGAGGTGAAGTACGTGAAGAGATGGAGGCACGGCAAGAGGAGATGCAAGGATGGAGGGGCGAAGGGAGGGGACAGGAAGAATAGATGGATGGGAGGATGGGGGGACGGAAGAGTATACAGGGGGAGGGCGAGGGGAGGCTGCAAGGTGGGTGGAGCGAACAGCGGAGGACACGCCCATGCACAGTGACACAAGCGAAACGACCATGTTTCTTCGTACTGTCAGCTTGATCTTTCTTAGTAGTGTCGATACTCACCGTATGATCATGCGTGGTTTCCGGGGGCGGCTCCGCCGCCCAAAGGGAGGGACGCCAAGGCGGCCCAAGAAGCTCTCGAAAACCGGCCCGAGCGGACCCCAGGTTGCCCAGAAAGCCCTGAAGAAGGCCCCAAAGAGGGGCCCAAGAGGGGGAAATCGAGCTGGCCTCGACAGCTTTTCCCTACTGGATTGCCGAAGACCCCACATGTGCTCCCAGAGGCCTCCCAGAAGTCTCCTTACAGACCACCAAAAGGCCTCCCAAATGGACCACAAACGCTCCCCGTAGGCCCTCAAGAGGTCCAGAGAAGCCCAAAGATGTACCTTTAGCTCAAACTCCTTCGCGCTGCGCTGCTGCATTGGCACGGCGAAAGGGTTTGCCGCATGCGGCTGGATACAGACATAGATAAAGAAGCATATGTCATAATTTCCACTCTGCCCAACATTGCGGTTCCCCACTGCGCGTTTGGGTTCAGGCCCATCCCAAAGCTGCCCGAAAAGAGACGCGCGCGTCTGGAATAGGACAGCCTCGGTACGCCTCAACTCGTCACCATGCTCATCCCATCCTCCCTTACTTTCCCGCACGCCGTCCACGTGAGCACCTCGACAAGTGTGAAGTTCAGGCCCTTAAATGAGTTCAAAGAGGGCCCAACACGTTTAAATGCACTCATGCGCCATGAACGCTAACCGCCGACATTCTTAACAACTACCAACATCTGCATGACGAGACGGCAAGAAGCCACAGCGCAGGGAGAGAGAGTATGGAAATGCACATGCTCCCCGGCGCTCCTTTTCTGGAAGGCCTCTATCAGCCAGACAAAACGCTTAGAGCCAAAATGCGACGACGCAAAGATCTTTTCACTTGGTGGAGATGACCAACTCACACCAAGCATGCATCGCTAGATGCAGGCACACCATCGAGATAAACTTCTCTGGAGCTGCGGATTGAGCGCACATGATCTGCCAATCGCCCAGGTGGAGGCCAGCAGTCGAACCCGACTACGTGCCCCCACTTCGTTTACCAAGAATACAAAATCCGCCGGCCCCCTTGTGGGGCCACCAGGCTGTAGGACGAAGCTTCGCAGTTTCCTGTTCCAGTTGCAGCTTCCAGTTTCCACTGTTACAGTTCTGCTTCTTGCTGCTTACTGTTCCTTGTTACAGTTCTGCTAATTGCTGCTTAGATGGACCGCGCGAGGGGGGGAGGCCCAAAACGGACATTTTCACCACGCCCAAAAAAGAGTCTCAGAATTTCTGGGGGGGGTAAAAATAAACACCCCTCACGCAGATCGGCGGGGTCAGGGTCCAAAAACACAAGAAATTTGCCACATTTCTAAATTCGGTGGCACCCCTCATGCAGATCGGCGGGGTCAGGGTCCAAAAACACAATGGATTTGCCACATTTGTAAAATTTGCTCGCACCCCTCACGCAGATCGGCGGGGTCAGGGTCCAAAAACACAAAGGATTCGCCACATTTCGAAATTCGGTGGCACCCCTCACACAAATCGGCGGGATCAGGGTGCAAAAACACACGGGATTTGCCACATTTCTGAAATTCGGTAGCACCCCTCACGCAGATCGGCGGGGTCAGGGTCCAAAAACAAAAGGGATTCGCCACATTTCTGAAGTCCGGTGGCATCCCTCACGCAGATCGGCGGGGTCGCGGTCCAAAAACACATGGGATTTGCCACAGTTCCGACATTCGGCGGCAGCCCTCACGCAGATCGGCGGGGTCAGGGTCCAAAAGCACAAGGAATTTGCCACACTGCTAAATCAGTTTACTTCCAGGAACCGACTTCATGTTGATACCGAAGAATGTCAATTTGACGTTTCTCTAGAAGTACTCGGAGAAGCTCCCTGTTCCGATCCTGAGCACTATTACGCGTGGAAGGAGCTCTACGAGGTTCCCGGCGGTGACCAGGTTGACGGTTCACCGCCGGCGCCAGTACCTCGTAGAGCTCTTCGGCATCGATGAGCTAAAAGAATTCCGGCGCTGGGTGGAGCTAGTTGGTCGACCCGACCGGAAAGAAGATGTGACGACTTTGGGTCGGTTTTGCTAAGAGTTGAAAGATATTTAACAATTCACTTTGAGGAACCAGATTTTTACTCCTAGCATTAGTGTCTAAACTTTAGTCTGAGAGGAGCTCAGCTCTCTAGAGAGAGTTTTACTATCGAGACATTTAGAAGAACCAACATCAGGTTGACACCGAAAAATCACAATTTGACGTTTTTCCAAAAATGCTCCAAGAAGCTTTATGCTTCGATTCTGAGCACTCTTGCACGTGTAAGGAGCTCTACGAGGTTCCCGGCGGTGACCAGGTTGACGGTTCACCGCCGGCGCCACTCCGGGGCGCTGGAGAGCTAGTTGGCAAGAAAATATCGACGGACCTTTTGCTGACTTTTGGTCGGTTGAAAATTTTGTTCTCGAAATTTAACAACTCGTTTGAGCTCATTCGATCTTATACCCGCTCGCCGTCTTAATCTCAGCTCGATCGGGTAGATACTACTGCCAAAAAGCATCCCGGCGGGATCGGCCGTTTGGGGTCATCTTGACATGCAATGTCGGTTTTTTGTGCATTACTCGAGCTGTAGGAGAGCTACAGAGCTGACACTTACAGAAAACGATCCAGAATCATCAGGCGCGTTCGTCTGTTGCATCCAGAGGTCTGAACTCGGTCTGCTGCCCGAGCTAGGTCCGCGAAACTATTCGTATTGTTCGAGTCATCTTGAGAGGTGCTGTCGGTTTTCTGTACTTAACTCGGGCTGCAGGGGGGCTACAGGGCTAGTAATTGCAGAAACCAATTCAGAGACATCAGGCGCGTCCGCCTGTCGCATGCAGAGGTCTGGAATCGGTCTGCTTCTCGAGCTAGGTCCGCAAAACTATTCGCATCGCTCGGGTCATCTCGACAGGAACTGTCGGTTTTCTGTACTGAACTCGAGCTCTAGGGGAGATACAGAGCTGATACGCACAGAAACCGATGCAGAATAATCAGGCGCGTTCGTCTGTTGCATCCAGAGGTCTGACCCCGGTCTGCTACTCGAGCTAGGTCCGCGAAGCTATTCGCATCGTTCGAGTCATCTTGAGAGGTGCTGTCCGCTTTCGCACGTAACTCGGGCTGTAGGAGAGCTACAGAGCTCATACGCACATAAACTGACTCGGAATCATCAGGCCCGTTCGTCTGCTGCATCCAGAGGTCTGAACTGGGTCTGCTACTCGGGCTAGGTCCGCAAAACTATTCGCATTCTTTGAGTCATATTGACAGATGTTGTCCATTTTCTGTCTTGAATTCGGGCTGTAGGAGAGCTAGAGAGCTGGTACGCACAGAAACGGATGCAGAAGCATTGGGGGCGTTCGTCTGTTGCATCGAGAGGTCTGAACTCGGTCTGCTACCCGAGCTAGGTTCACATAACTATTCGTATTCGACCGACAATTGTTTTACAAATGATGGTGAATTTCTTCACTGAACTCGAGCTCTTCGGCCGAAAAACCAGAAGGACATCATGAGGCGCGAAGCATCTAGACGCTTGCTTTGGGTCTGTTGTGAGCGCAGACGCCAAACACGGATTCGTACTCTGCTATTTTCTTCCTAATGGTATTTTCTACACGCTGCAGATGAGCTATAGAACTGTTCAGCACAGCAATGGGATATCACTAGACGCCTGAGATCAGTCTGCAATCAGCGCTCGGGCTGAAAAACTATTCGTTCTCTGCAAATTCTTTGGACATAATACATGGTCAGGAAGCTCTATGAGCCCCCTGGCGGTAAGAAAGGTTGACGGTTTACCGCCGGCGCCCAGTTGGTCGACCCGGCCCGGGCGGACAATGTGGTGACTCTGGGTGGGTTTTGCTGAGATTTGAAAGATATTTGACAATTCATTTTGAGAAAGCAGACTCTTCGCACCTGTGAACGACTATGAGGGCCTCTGCGTCTTAATATGAGCTCTGTAGGCGCACATTTACTATCAAAACACTTGGCGGAACCAACTTCATCTCGACATGAAAAAACTCAATGTTAAATGAGAAATGCCTCCAGAAGCTCTCTCTTTCGACTCTGAGCACTCTCACGCGTGGAAGGAGCTCTACGAGGTTCCCGGCGGTGACCAGGTTGACGGTTCACCGCCGGCGCCAGTTCCGGGGCGCTGGAGAGTTAGTTGGCAAGAAAAATCTCGACGGACCTTTTGGTGACTTTTGGTCGGTTGAAAATTTTGTTCTCGAAATTCAACAATTCGTTTGAGCTCATTCGATCTTTTTCCCGTGATATTCGATATTATTCCCGCTCGCCGTCATAATTTCAGGTTGATCGGGTAGATCTTACTGCCAAAAAGCGTGTGGGCGGGATCGGCTGTTTCAGATCATCTTGACAGGCGTTGTCGGTTTTTTGTGCTTAACTCGAGCTGTAGGAGAGCTACAGAGCTGATACTTACAGAAACCGATTCATAATCATCAGGCGCGCTCGTCTGTTGCATCCAGAGGTCTGAGCTCGGTCTGCTACTCGAGCTAGGTCCGCGAACCTATTCGTATTGTTCGAGACATCTTGAGAGGTGCTGTCGGCTTTCTGTACTTACCTCGGGCTGTAGGGGGGCTACAGGGCTGATAATTACAGAAACCGATTCGGAGACATCCGGCGCGTCCGCCTGTCGCATGCAGAGGTCTGAAATCAGTCTGCTACTCGAGCTAGGTCCGCAAAACTATTCGCATCGCTCGAGTCATCTCGACAAGGACTGTCGGTTTTCTGTACTGAACTCGAGCTCTAGGGGAGCTACAGAGCTGATACGCACAGAAACCAATGCAGAATACTCAGGCGCGTTCGTCTGTTGCATCTGGAGGTCTGAACTCGGTCTGCTACTCGAGCTAGGTCCGCGAAACTATTCGCATCATTCGAGTCATATTGAGAGGTGCTGTCCGTTTTCGTACGTAACTCGGGCTGTAGGAGAGCTACAGAGCTCATACGAACAGAAACTGATTCCGAATCATCAGACCCGTTCGTCTGTTGCATCCAGAGGTCTGAACTGGGTCTGCTACTCGGGCTAGGTCCGCAAAACTATTCGCATTCTTCGAGTCATCTTGGCAGATGTTGACCATTTTCTGTATTGAATTCGGGCTGTAGGAGAGCTACAGAGCTGGTGCGCACATAAATCGATCAGGAAGCATTAGGAGCGTTCGTCTGTTGCATCGAGAGGTCTGAACTCGGTCTGCTACCCGAGCGAGGTTCACAAAATTATTTGTATTCGACCGATATGTTTCTCCAAATGATGGTGAATTTCTTCACTGAACTCGAGCTGCAGAGCAGCTCGAGAGCTCTTCGGCCGAAAAATCAATGAGGCGCGAAGCATCTAGACGCTTGGTTTGGGTCTGTTGTGAGCGCAGACGCCAAACACGGATTCGTACACTGCTATTTTCTCCCGAATGGTATGTTCTACTCGCTGGAGATGAGCTATAGAACTGTTCAGCACAGCAATGGGATATCACTAGACGCCTGAGATCAGTCTGCTATCAGCGCTCGGGCAGAAAAACTATTCGTTCTCTGCTAATTCTTTCGACATAATATATGGTCAGGAAGCTCTACGAGTCCCCCGGCGGTAAGAAAGGTTGACGGTTTACCGCCGGCGCCCACTTAGCCCACCCGGCCGGGGCGGACAACGTGGGAACTTTGGGTCGGTTGGGCAAAGATTTCGGGAGATTTGAACATTCGTTTTAAGAAGTGCTATTTTTCGCACCTGTAATGGGTTATGCCGCGTCTGCCTGTTAAACTCTCAGGTCCGTAGCTGTAGTATTACTATCAAAACACTTGGGGGACCCAAGTGCGGATGAAAA